AGAATGATTAACCTCGTGTGTATATGCCACGTGTGTGGCTAGCGGGGAGGAATCCTATCACCTTTGACAAAGCAATTGGCTTTGGTTGTTGACGATGCCCATCGATATGCAGGAAAAAGTCATGACTTAACAGACGCTGTAAACATCGTGTCACAGCACTGAGATACGTGCTGCCTACTGTGGCCACGGTTCGTGTCTGTCAGTCGATCCCTGGTTATTGGGACAACGCTTTATGAAAGTGGCTCATGTATACACATGTCTTCCAGGAGAATTGATAGCTCGGTAGGTTTTTTTACCCGAAGAAGGAACAGCCAGGCTTAGAACCTGAACGTAGATGCATCCTGTCCTTGATATTTATACACGTATAGGCCCCATGTTTATTTCTTGTATCATGCGAAGGTAAATTTATCCTTGCATTTGTATTTTTATTTTGGGATTACGTCAAGTTATATCTGTTTTAAGGCAATTAACTTAATCCTTCAGTAAACTGGTTCTTCCAAACCTGAGTCGCGATTTTACAAAGTAGTCGGCAGTTCAAGGGGACCCAAATTTCATGACTGTTTCAGGTGGAGTACAGTGTACATGCGGCAATCGCGGATGCCTCTTCCTGATGACAGTGACTCGATTTTTCTGTGCACAGATCTAAATCTGAGATTTGTAGTACCAACCTAGGGCCCGGTGGTAAGTTTGTAACCGTCCAACCGCCGTGTGGAGCCGAACTGCTCCTCCAACGAACCCTGTCAGTGCGCCTCAACGGTTTTCGGAGACGTGGTGAATCCACACTGTGGAAGCTGGTGTAACGGGGTTTATCCGTTTGGCCGTTGATCTATAGTCACTCTCATGAAAGGAATCATTCTTCCTCGAATCTTGTGGGTGCCTTACCAGGCGTTCTGATTGGTCAAAAGCTCAACGTCACACGTACTTCATTGTCACCCATATACCCATTTACAACGGTTTGTGGAATCCATCTGCAGTTTGCCCTTCAGCCATACTGCTACAAGTCATTCGTATGCAGGCGCTCAGCGGATAAGTCACATTGTGCCACCTGCATCAGTGGCGGAGGTGTCAACTTTCGTACCTACGCTATAATATCAAACAGATATGCACCATTCGCGACGCGACTTTGATGGTTCTGTAAAGCAGTACTGAAGAAGAGAATGATACTTTTTTTTTCTACTTCGACTGATACCCTTCGTGTCATCTCTTCTCTTCAGATGACATTGTATCCGGCGACCATCGTCTAATGAGTATCTCTCCCACGTGCACAGTTCGTATATTGGAAGATCAGCGAGAACCTTTGGCAATTTCAACGGAATACTTGTTCGCTGCGAGTCTACTGCTCCTCGGAAGGTTTATAGGAACACGTGTCCAGAAAAAGATGACTGACAGGATGCGCTTTAACGATTAAAGGGATTTCCTCGTAAGGTGATCCACACTAAACACATCCTGTCGCTTATTGAAAGAGTTTGGACACACTCATTACAACCTGACCACTGATTCTGCAGCTTGATCACAGTGTCATAGTCCACGTATATAACTTTGTCATTAAGGCATGATAAGTAAAGCATCCAACAAATCGATTCCCTCGGCAAGCAGCATAATAATTGAATTAGGGAGGCGTGGGTTGTTGGACCGACATAATTGCTATCAAGTCTACGCCGCCGTTAAAAGATTTCGTCTTGGCTAAAGACGACACTGCTTCGCTCAATGGTGGGACGGGTTCTGGCCAGCCAAGGTAAGACCATCCTGATTTTTTTTTTTTACGAGTGGCCAAATATCTGCCCCGGCAGTCGTCATGTTTTCCTACACGTCGGGATCTACAGACTCCAGATAATCCGTTTTGAAGACTGAATTTAATTCAAGGCATAAAATTGATGGTTTGGGGGACAACAAAAGAACGATAGCAGGTCTCCCGACGTTACCGTTGTCTGGCCATAGCACAATGCATTCCATGTTTCCAAACACGACCACAGCATTTTTGCCTGTATACTGTCGCACACATGAAAACGCCAATATCATACCAACCTACCGACAGTGATGAGATATATGAACGAATCTTCAAAACAGACTTCACATTGATGTGGTCAGCCATTTTGCAAAGGTCATAACTTGCGCCGGGTCGGTCTGCAATGTCCTTGCCTTATTCCCTCGTTTTGAACCCTGCACCTGAAGAGCGTACAGCAAGTGCCTGTGTGTCTAGCAATGCTTCTACAAATGTTCATAACAGACCACATGCATCGGCAGAGACAGATCTCACAGCAAAGCTATCTGTTATCGAGCAGACCTTGTGTATCCTTGGCTGGAAGCAGTTATCAATCAAATCACTTCTAATTATGCTTCACTTCAGCAATTTATTGTCATCGACGATTTTGAGAGCCTGTGAGTGTAGAAAACCAAACCACGGGGCATAATGGGTGCAGGGAGAAGTCTTGATCAGCCAAACTAACATCAAAAGTCTGAACCACCCACTTCTCCCTTTCGAGCCGCAAAATCTCTGGTTACATAACTCTGTAACACTGAAATCGGGAAGCCCTTCTGTCTTTTCGATCCCCTATTTGCGTCAGTCTCCCGCCAGGTGAGGTCACTCATTTTGTCTCCTCGTCGAATCTCGACAAAACTCTACACTGGACACATTGTCCACTAACGGATACCCGTTACTTCCCCATAACCCTTCACGCTACACTTACAGCACGTAGAAAGAAATTGCATGCGGATCACGAGAGACACGTTTTCGAACAATCGGGCATTTCAGCGGGATACGGACAAAACTGTCTTTTTCAAACAATGGCCGTTAAAAATCGGCGCATCTGCCGTGTCCACAGCTAGCCGATAAGAACCTGTCCATTTTCACCACGGTGTTACTTATGATCTGTCGTCAACATTCACTTTGTTGGACATGATTGGTCCATTCCCACCCCGATTTCCTTCTCTTTGTTCGGGCAATACCGTGTTTGCGCCCCAAATGGCAACCTTTGTCTGCGCTTTGACCCCTGGGGCGCCCCCAACAGGGAAATTTGGCACTCCTTTTGTTAACTTGGTGAGCGGCAGTGGGGTGCTACAGACGGTGTTGATGGATTACTATCGGATAATTTCCCCATTCTAGTCTGAATGAACCTCTCGGACGTTTTGGACCGCGCTCTTAGCAGTTCACCGATGCTCATTTTACTCAGCCTCTAGTAAAGAAGTCCTAAACGTATAAGAAGTTGCTCGTGAACGATTGGGATAAATTAGTCATCAAAACTTGGGATTTAAAGCGCAGTTGGGCAGTTAATCATGAACACAGTTACCCATGACCACTGGGATCATTGTATGGCGTGAAAAATATTGGCTTAAGGATTTCTGAACTTAAAAAAATCCCCAAAATGACGGATTTGCTTAGGATTCGTGACGAATTATCAATCTAGGCCAATGTGGAGATTTTCTCATATTGCAGAACTATGAAAAGGTGCCTGCTGGCTTACGATGATCTACTGATATTTTGTTGTCCCCCAAAGTGTGGTAGATCAAGAACATGACATTTGGCACGTGGTCAATGTATATTCCTACACAGACGTACGGAACGAGAACTGGTAAAACAGCAAAACCCTTCGTTGAATTAAAATTTCACAATTATATGAATTGGAAGTTTCACATGCATACAACGTTTTGAAAAAAATGTGTCTGGGACAGTATTGACACTCAATACTGACAGGGCCAGTCTATTTGAAATCCAGATTCCAGTGATGGCACTGTATCGTCCCTTTAAGTAAAATCCGCACACACAACTCTTTAAGAAAACCTTACTCCTTTGGAAATTGATTACATTTTTCGCCTTCAAGGCTTGGTTCATTTGCTGCCGAAATTGAGTCTGAGCCAACGTGCAGTGTTTACCTTGATTATTTCTGGCAAATCCAATTCGCATACGGCGGCGCGGAGTTCGTTGATATAAATAAAATTTTAATGCTCAGCTTGATGATACGGCAGGTATGCGATTATCTTCCATCTCATGTCATTGGGAAGAGTTCCCTGTTGATGCCTTGCCTTTTTTCTCCTGGAGTTGGAAATCAAATTAGACGTTGGTGTCATCCCGTGCGTCATAAGTATAGAGCGCGCACATCCTGTCTGGAGAACGGACCCTATGTTGTAACATGAGAACATGCAATAGCTTCAAAGCGTCTGATATTGTATTGTTACTTTGTGCGGTGCTGACTCTATGTTACCCACGTTCGGATATTCGAATACGCTGCATGGGCTGTTATAGTTCGACGACGGTTGAATAGCAGTGTTGTAGTCGAGTACTTTCCCAGTACCAACGTTCTCCG